ATTTTGTTTAAGTTTTGTTTGAGATAGTTTATTCTATCTCAAGTAGAGCTAAGTATTTTAAATGTACTTCAACTGCTTTTTTTCATATATGTAGCAAATGCAGAAATAAAAAATGTGTTTTCCACAATGATAGTTTTATTGAGTGTTTTGACATTTCAACGTCCAAATATTTATCTGAAGCTGTGTGGTAAATTTGTTTAGAATAGCAAATTTTTCTGGTTTGCCTGAGAGTGTACATGTTTGTGTATGTGCACGTGCTTGTGGCTGTATGCGCATAAAAACTGGATAATGCATTTTAAGCTTTAAATCACTGTTTTTAATTTTGTGATTCTGAACACAGCTTAGTGAATGCCTATACACTGGCAGTTCAGGCTTCTGCACTGACTGTCTCATGCTTGAAGGAAGGAAGCATGTGCCAGCGAAGCTGTCTGCAAGAACTTCCCCCACTCATCACAAAAATCTGCAGATTTAGCAGGTTATCTGGACATCTAGGACTCTGAGAGGGGAAGGTCCAAGGAGGAGGGCTATGACTGAGGGCTATGACTCTTGGGAAGTCTCTTTACTATTCTGTTGCTTTCCATATACCTTAATACACATTGAGTACAATTGGGCCCATTTGTCTCAGGCAAAGCAAGAGCAAGTTTATATTCCTTATTAATCTCTTATGGCCCAAACTTCCTCACTATTTACTCTTCATATACTAATCCTATTTATTTCCTCCTTAATCTCTAGTGGCTTTATTTTATTTTATTTTATTTTTTGTAAGTAAGACGCCTGCTGGAAAAGTACTTTTCTCCTTGTAAATGAAGTCCAAGCATTTTGGCACCAAAACTTAATTTTATATATCAAATTGATTTTTTTTTCCAGTCTACCTTTCATTCATAAACACTTTATTATCTATTTATAAGGAAAAAAACAAAACCAAAACAACCCACACAAATAGGAAAACCACGTGAATAATCTGGCACTGATCCTTTATGCATAAGTTGATTTTCACAGCCATTCCTACAGTTTTTTTTTCTCCAACAGTTATTAACTTTTCATGAAAGGCATGGGGATTTCTTTCCCCGGTGAGCACTTCCCAAATTTCTTTTCAGATGTCTGATTTTTGGCAATTACCCTCAAAATGGTGACTGCTGTCAGAGCCCTGCTGTCAAAAAGACCACGTGGAGAGCTTTAGTTTCCCAGCAAAAGCCCATCATGTCACAGAGCCCTCCATTCACAGGCTCTGTAGTAGTGTCTACTGTACTTGCTCTGATGTCTTCCTCCAGGTTCACCTCCTCTTTCTCCTACCTAAGCTCCTCTCTTCCTCCATAATGTGTACTGACAAAACTGAAATGTTGTCAGAAAAGTTAGTAAAGCTTTGGACCCTTCCTGTGCAGCGCTGCTGACCGAGCAAAGCCCATGAAAATCAGATCCTCTCCTGATACTGCTATGAGTAGCTGGTGCAGCATCCAGGCGGCTCAGGTTCTCCTTAGACAGAGCCCAAGCCTATTGCTGCAAATATCCAAACCTGCTGTAGCATGTTGGGATGGGGAGTGGATAAAGTGAAGAAAGGCTTTTCAAGCTGTTTCTGGGGATGGGAGATGTGTGTCATTGCTGTTAATACTGTCAGTCCACACAATCCCTGTATCAGAAGAAATGGGTGGGAAGAGCCCACACATTTATTTTGCATTATCCCTTTGCCCAAAGGCAGGGTCAGCTGTCCATAAAATGTTCCTTATTGTGCACTTGCATCCAAAGCAAACAAATATATAGCATATTTTCCTGTAGAAAGCCCTTCGAGTGGGGTGGAAGAAAGTTGGTTTGCATTATCTCCTCGCCCCCAGAGTCCTCTGCCCTCCCTGGTTGGTCAGGCAGCTGCAAAGCAAATGTGTCACATATACACACTTGGACCACATGAGAGGAGACCCACTGCTTTCCAAAGCTGATAGATTAGCCTTTTGTATCCAAATCTAATTGGAAATGATGTGTGCTGAGGATGGGTGCAAGTGAGGGATTAGGATATCTGATAGGAGGGGAAAGATTTCTGTTTGAACTTGTAGCAGTGCTGACAGAGCCTGGTCACTCAATGAATTTGGTTTGCCTCATCCTTAGATGTTCAAGCAGAGTTTAAAGCTCAAGTTTATTGGAGCAGTTCACTTCTCTGTTGAAGTAGTTCACTTCTCCTGGCATGCACGGTATACATCTCATCTGATGGAGACTCTCTTTTAGCGTCCACTTTCCATTGCTTCTGTTAATGAGTGTCAGTTTGTATTTTACCTGAACTGGTTGTGTTCCCAGTCTGTCTCCTCCTGTTAGCCTAGTGGAAAGTGTGATACAGCTGATAATGGCAGTGTGTCATGTCACGAAGAAAAGTGCGAAAAACAAACTAAGCTGTAAGTATAAGCTGTGAGATAAAAGATAATAAACGCAAAACTGAAAGTAACACTGAGGCCAATATTTGATGCTGTAAACTGAACCACACATGATTGTAGAATTGTGTAGACATGACAAGTAACAGTAGCATGTTGATGAGGAATTAGAATATTGCTAAAAGGAATGCCCTTTTCTGGAAAGTGGAGAAAAGTTAATAGTAAGAAATGTAGATCTGTGGGGCCAAGTCCAATGATTTACTATTGGCCTCATCAGGATCAGGGTTTGTTTCTTGTTTTGTAGTTGGAGCAATTAAAAAGTTGTGGCAAAAGCACAGTGCCTTTGGCTTCTACCACTTCTTCTCCATTAGTGTTTGGCCTCCAGTGTTCCAGAGCACAATTATTTGCAGACTCTTAGTAATTTTAGTCTCTCCAAGATGCCCACAGTTTCTACTGTGAGAGGGGAAAAAAATGGTGTGCAAACAGCCTTGCAATCCAGATCTCAGTGTATTTTCTGCACAGTTGTTTCTGTTTGGTTGTCAAAATATTTTTGTGTTCTTCTACACTCCAGAGAAGCATGCATTTAATTTCACCACTGTTGAGTTGTTGTAGTCCACAGGATCCAAATATATGCCCCAAACCTGTTGAAGTCAATTGGTTTTGAGTGATGGTTTGCTACCTGGATACCAGATCCTATTTGCAATGCTCATGCCGTATAGAGCACATACTCCCTTACATGAGATCAGACTGGCTTGCATTTCTTCTGAGATCTGTTAGGAAGTACAGTCAGAGCAGTATGTGAATCTGTGGGCTTTCTGCTCTTTACTGAGTGAGACATTTACCATCACTTGCCTCTTAGATTGAGTTGAGCAGGTTTGGATTAGACTTGGCATCTCAAAATGTGGATCTTTATGTAGGATTTATCCTGGCTATGCTCAGTTTCTTTATGATCTCACTAACCTTGCAATCCTGCTAGGAAGAAAGATGCGGGGGGGGGTGAAGGGGGAGTGGTGGGGGAAAGGAGGGGGGAAGAGAAAGCAGACTTTATATGTTCCCCTAGGATATTCTCTTTAAACAGTAGCATTTCTAGGCTGGATTTTCCAGATATGTGTTCCACGTAGGTACCTAGAGTTCCACAATCTGAGAAGTTGAAATAAAAAGCTGAAGACTGCTCGTATAGACATTATTTTTACCCGTTAGTCACTGTTTTTTCCACATTAATCACAGGGTAAAGATATCGGGCTTCAATTCAGATTATGACAATATCTAATGTCTTTTCCACATACAACTTCATATTAGGAGAAGACTTCCTCTCTTGTTTTCACGGGAATTTTGTGAATTCCAGTATGTATATTTTTCCAGCTGTAATACATTATTTGCAATTGCAAATTGCTAGTTGAAATATCAGTTTTCCTACAGAACAACTGGTAATAGTAAATCTTAGAAATGTAAGCTTATTTCAAGCACTCAGGTTAGACAGTCTATGCACAAAATGGTGTCCTGTAATGATCTGGCATCGTTCTCTATAGGTGTCAGCAGCTGGATCTGGGCTTGGTTACTCATATAGGAATCTGCTGCTGCAAAGCAGATAGGCAGGAGGTAGTGGGTTACATCTTTAGTCTAAGGTCATTTGAGGTAAACCTTTCCTTTGTAAATCTGTCTTCTGACAGAAAATAGTCTTGTTGAAGAAGTCACCTTGTTTGTTTCCTTGGGAGGAACTGAATAAAAGCACCTACTGCTCCATTCATAAGGATGACTTACTATCCTCAGGCCCCAGACTGCAGCTGAGGATTCAGTGAACATAAAATAATGCACTATATGATACACTGTATACTATCTATATCAACATGCATTTCCTGTTATAGAAGATGGTAGTTATAGACCTGCAACAAGTAATCTAACAAAAATAAGTACTCTAAATTTGTATTAGGCATTTTCCTGCTCTGGAGACTCTAAAAGCACTAGATTTGTGACATTTGTTGTCTCTTGCACTTCCTTCATGAGGATTGCTCATTCTCCAGCTACTCTAGTCCCATAGCAGTAATCCAGCTGAGCTGTTTGCCCTTCCCAAAAGCCCTGGCTGGGCTGGCAAAGAAGTGGAAGATGTTTCCTCCTGCTTGCCAATATGCTGAAGATAAAGAACAGGCTTGATTTATCCAGGAGGATTAGTCTGGGGATTTGGTAGACTGCTCAGGAGGACTGTGCTTTGCTCTGGGTCACAACTGTCTGTTTGTTTGCACCCAAAAGATTGGCTGCTCTCGAACGTGCACTGCCTGCCTTTGAGAGGCAAAAACTTTATGAAGCTGTGGGCCTCAAAGGTAGGGTTTCTTCTCGACACTAAAACATTCTCAACAAAAGACGCATTGACAAACTACTGCCAAAGGTAGGAAAAATAATGTCAGATTTCCTATTTTATGGCCATTTCAGCACAAAAGCACTTTCCACCTACGACTTCTCCAGATGGCAAATATTTTTTGCGCATTCAGCATAGCATGTATGTGCAGTATATATATATATATATATACATATATATATATATACAGCAGTTTTTATTCTTGTTGGCAATGTTTCTAACTGTTCAAGCTTCGTATTTGCAAAGCATACACAGCATGGAAACTCCAAATGCTCTCCTGTTTATTCCTGAAGTTTTGCTGAATACAGGTACAAAATATCACAGAAAACTCCTGACCGAATTCTGTTGGAACTTTCTGTAGCTGCTACACACAACATCAAGTAAGTAATCATAATTACCAGTTTTTAATGATTACAGCAACAACAAAAGAAATCCTGAAGAGTTTGGTAAATCTTTGAAAATTCTACACTATTTTTCTCCCTCTCAGTTTTGTCACTGAAGAACCGTTTATGATGAACATTGCAATTCCACCAGTTCTTCTTGGTAAGGATAATCAACTCACATTTTTTTCCCCTCGTTTTGTCTATACAAGAAAAAGAGTACCCAAATGGGCACTTTGCTTTCCCGTAAAGCTGGGCTGTCGTATTTTGTTTATTAATTCTTCCACTGTTTCTGGCTTCTTTTAAAATATTTTGGAATTTTCATGATCAGCAGCTTGGACAAGACCTATTGAAAACCAAAAGGATTATATTAAATGCTAAGAATAAGATAATGTCTCATTTAAACAAACAAAGAAGACACTTTTTAGGGACCTTTTTGTATGATATAAAGCATCTTTGACTATTTTGGAATGAAAAGCAATCCCTGAATATAAGACATTAAAAACAGATAATTTAAAACTCAAAAATAAACTCACCCCTCCTATTGGAAACAATATCTGTCTTTACTCAAGCTAGACAATTTCGTAAGTTGTCTTCATTTTTTAAAAAAGACATCCTAGAACGGCTGGCAAATGCAAGGATGGGATGGAAAGAATTTCTGGATGTTCAGCCAGTCTGATCCATGTTTTGACATTTTATGCAAGAGAATAAAAGTTGTTTTTCCCCCCATTTCTCCAGGCTGCTACTACCCATCATTTCACACAGATCTGGTTACACACGCACAAAAAAGTCATCAATGTATTGGAAGAAGACAAAGAGAGAGACTGTTCCTGTTTATGCAGAACTTCTGGAGATGCAATACAGGTGATCCTGCATTTCATAATGCTCCATTTCATAACAGTTTTCCATGGATCCAACTTAGCAGTACAGCTCTGTGCAGCAAAGCCCTGACTGATGGCTGTGACCTGGAAGTTCAAATAGCACCAGACATATCAAATTTCTCCCTGAAGATTAGCAAAATGTATCCCCCATATTAGCCAGCTCAGGCACCATGTAGGAGAGTATGACTGAGAAATACGCATAAAAATCGTACATGTTCTACAGATATTTCAGAAATCATGTCTTTAGGTGAGCTCTTAAGAAGTTCACTGAATGTGAAACTTAAAGCCTGGAGAGGGTTTTGTTTAAGCAGTGTTTAATTGTGCTCTCATATCTGGACATACATGACATTATTATTTCTTTTTTCTTCAGAAGCCTTCACAGCAAGACCCATGATCCAATACACTCACTTGAAATTTCTGGCAATGTCATGGTTAGTGACTCTCCTTCTGATACCTTTTCTAGTAGCTTCTGACTTAGCTTGCAATAAGGCCTGTGAACTGACTTTGGTGAGATGTGGATAAAAAGCTCATAATACACTTAACCAACAGCAAAGTTTCACGGGGGAAAAACCCTTTGTTGTCTTACTTTCCCCCCCCCCCCTACAGCTTTTTGAGATGAAATTGTGAGTTGGAAGTAGAGGATCCAATGAAACTCAAGACTGAGGCTTTTATTCACAGCTTGGTGGCACAGAGATCAACTTGGCCCTCTTGGCCTTCATAGGGAATATGGAGAAAATCTGGAAAGTAGCAGGTCTTCCTTGCTGCTGAACAGCATAAGCTGAGGGAAAGGCTGGGAGCTACGGCAAGCTCAAACTTAAAAGATTACTGTGCCTCTACTTTATTGGCATTGTCTGCCCCAGGAAGGCAGTGGATGAGGGCAAATGTTTGCACATTCATTCCTCGCTGCAGAGTGTTTTGTATTCCTATTCTGTGCCTGGAGCTCTCTCATACTCAAGATTAAAATGCTGCTGACTCTCCTTTTCTGATGTTTTTTTCTGCTTGGGCTCTTAAAAGCACTGGTTAAAAGGGCTTTCTTCCTGGTCACATAGGTTAGTTTCTATTTTAAGAAAAAAATGATTGCAGGGTGATCTCGAGTTCCAAGTCTCCAATAAAGCTCTATTTGGTTCCCACAGTTAGTCCTGCAGAGCTGAGAGGATCTCTCAGTCATGCACCACACTATTGCATAAGTCACAGAATCATCACAGAATCACAGAATGAGCTGAGTTGAAAGGAAAGTTACAGATCGTCTATTTCCAACCCCCTGCCATGGGCAGGGACACATCCCACTTGGCTAGGTTCAAAGTCCGATCCAACATGTCCTTGGGCATTTCCAGGGATGGGGCATCCACAGTTTCTCCAAACATCTTATTGCCATGCCTCAACACCCTCCAGTGTTCACTGGAGTCGAATGACACTACCAGACACTTAAACTTCATCCAATCCTTCATGCTGAATGAGAGAGATTGCTAACCAATCAAAACACCTTTTGAAGTGTACAAGTATTTATTTGGTTAAAAACTATCTTGACGAAGATTTTCTATATTCACAAATAATTTAAGCTTTAGCTTTTAGTCTTGCTAGTACCATTTTATTTTATTTTATTTTTATTTTTAATTTTTGAGTACTAATCTTTTTGAAACAAGAATTTGGTTATTCCCAGGGCTTACAAGGTCTTTGGCTGGGTATAAAATTTTTAGAGTGACAGAGACAGAAAGGCATTTGGATGTCTTTGCTAACATATGTTCACTTACAGTGTTTTTTGTGTCTGTTAATGAAAGGGAAGTGTGCCAGTTTAGATAACTGAGGGAGTTCAAACAGGCTGAGGTTAATGTAGCCACACATTACATGCTAACATACAACTCAACTGAATTGATAATTAGATCTTTTATAGAAATTCCATGATTTTTGAAGTATGATTCTGCTTAATTATAAAACATATATCAAAGAAATATTAGCTCACTGTTTTTCTAAGTGCTGCTAAGTAGACCAGAAAAGAATGAGAGAGAAAAAGTAATAAAGCTTGTCTTCAGTAAATTTCAGTATTTTCTGTGTTCCGTATGCAACTCAATACAATTTCTTCTTCCTCAATAACTAGAGAATTACAAATAGAATCAAATTCCTGGAACTCTGGTGTAATGACATGTTGGGAGAAGGGAGTTCAGAGACCTGTCTTCTGTGTGACATGTGAATTTGAAATGCTTCAGCGGATGTGGGAAGAATACAGATATGAAGTTGATTTTCAGCTCTTTTGCAGACCAACAGCGCAAGTGATGTAGGTTCAAGATATCCTGGATATACAGCACTTTATAATAACTGCAGTGGTTTGTGCAGACTAAAAGTAATATCTAGGAAAACACAGTCCTCTCTATCTGGAAGAAATGTCTAGGTGGCAAAAAACGATACGGGTGAGCGAATCCAAATATGCATCTACCTGATATAGAGAGTTGTCTATGTAACGTATCAGCAAACTTTTGGTTTTCATTTTCATACAAACCCGCTCAGGAGCTGAACTCTTGTCACCATTTTTCTTGAAGGCATGGCTCTGCTAGGCAAAATTGTTTGACAAAATCCATCTCAGTGATGTGCAAACAATTTTTTTCATAGCCTTTTCCCACTGTTTCTTCTTTGTGTCAATATGTCTGAATTGCTTTTGCAGACTTTCATGACTTCTTCTGCCTCACACAGTCTTTGCAAGGAATCCCAGAATAAGTTTACTCCTGGTTTGAAAGTAAGAATTAAAATGTAGACATGCAGCCTCCCTTCCAGTTATGCTGCCTTCCCAATGGATTCCACTGTGCTTCATGCTTCGTTTCTTGTCCTATATGTCCACAGAGAATAGGAGCATGAGCAGATGACATATGTCACTTGTTTTGCTGAAGCTCTGCTCTTGCCAGCTGTGAGACTCTAATGGGGGTTCCCTAGGTGACTTCAGAGGGGCAACTTTGATTTCAAAGTGAAAGCTATGATTGCTGATGCCTTGGCTTTTACCCACAGCACATCCTGGTACAACTCATTGCCACTGCAGCAAGATGGGTCCTGGAGGAAAAGACCAACCTTTCAAGCATTAGCAGGCACTATGCCACCTCCTAGCATTTTCAGTCATCTTGAAGTCTACATTACTTCTTCCAACTAGCTGCAACATATCCACAATGAGAGTTAAACTGTAATTTTGGCCCTGGCCATCCTGACAAGAGTGGCTCAAAAAATGTACACTAAATAATGATGATGAAGATGTGACTCATCCCTGCAGACACCTATGTAAGAGCCCAGGATAGTCAGACACAGCAGTTTCTTGTCCCTTTGCCCCTTAGAGCAGTGTGAGAAGATGGCACAGGACCTCTGGTTCTCTGGCTGGAAGCAAACAGGAAGGGCTGGATCGATGGAGGTAATTACAGGGAGTGACAGCAAGTTTGTGATTTTGTCTGACAAAGGGATAAATTTGATTTCCTTTCTCCTTTATGCACATTTGTTGGTTACTATTTTGGCTTCAGCCCTGCTTTTCTGTTCCTTCCTTTCATTCGTTCATTCTACATTTTCTTCTCTGCTTATTTGGTACTGTGTGACTAACCATCTCTGACTTTGTTTTTAGGCATTAACGGCTTGGTCCTGATTTTGAAATGAAGCCTGAACATACTTGGTAATGTTTTCAAATGTGTTAGATGGTTTGAAAAATCACCTGAGACTCTGACAGTCTTCAGTCACCCAAATCCTAGGGGAAATTTGGCCTTTTTATGACACATTACATGCTAAGATAAAGCACCGTGTTAGTCTTCATTGAATTATAAGATAAATAACATGGTTTGGAAAAAACAGGAACTTTAATTTTTTCACCTTTGACCTCTATCCTTGATTAAAGTGTACAAAGTCAGCATTCAGGCAAGGCTACCCTCGTTACTCAGTTCAGTGGCAAAACAGCAGACTATTTAACAATAATCTACCTTCTCTTGTGCTAATATTTATCTAATTTAGGGCAGAAAGCAAAGGAGAAAAGGATTCTGCTTGATTCCACGTGAATGTAGAGCTAGGTTGAAATAGGTGCAGGTGTTATACTGGAAAGGAATTGAGTTTGCTTGTCTTTTATGGGAATAAAATGACCAATAGTAAACTGCACATTGAGTAAGACATTCTGACTGTATGCAGGTATCAGGGAAGTCTATTATCTGGAAATGTGTTCCAATTACAACTACAGTGACCACAGGTAGAAATCCATGTTCTGGTTCAGGACTTCTCCTGGAGGTTTCTGCCTTGCTGTGCAGAGGCTGGGCATTGGACTTCGAGGTAGTTGAAATAAATTGAGATAAATATACGCCACTGAAATTTTACAAATGTTTATCCTGAGATTCTATAAGCCTTAAGTAAGTAGTACTTGCTTACACAAGTGATGGTTCACGTTGTGCAGAATCTTAATTTCTGCTTCACACAGATGGTTCCTCTTTTGCTATGCTGCAGATTTTTAAATTTCATTTTACTTTCTTTTTTGAGTGAATTTGAACTTCTGTGTTTGCTGGAATGAAAGCCTAGTTTCAATTCTTATGATACCTTGTTCTCCCCACCTTCAGGCTAAATTTATGTACCTAGCTATTGCACATCATCACAACACCTCCATAGAACTGCTTGGGTACAACCATAACCACCTCCAGCCCTACTTAGGCAGCTCTAATGATACCTGAGTACATGTATTAATGTTTGTATAATTAGAGATGATTTCCTGAACTGGGACAGAAAAAAAGAGGAAGTTTCAATGGATGCAGTGAGCATTTGATCCTGGCAGGCAATAATCAGAGCAGTGTAGATCAGGAGTTGGGCTGCCAGATTATCTGTGTGGGTATGTTATCTGTCTTCCCCCTACACACTTGACTCAGCCCTTGTCAGACTCTCTTGGGTGTCTGAGGGGGTATTTATGCCTATGGAGACAAGCTGGCTCTGTCTGTCCAAGCTGTGGGAGAAGACACGGGGGAGCCATGCGGGGCAAGGTGGGTGTACTGCTCTGTGTGCCCATCTGTGTGTCATTTACTCTGTGGATTTGTGACTAGTACAGGCATTTAAGTACCCATCTCTTTTCCCAAGTGCCATAAAAGCACAATTCAGGGATGAGTATAACAGAAGTCTTCACATATATCTCCTACAGAAGTAAAATCAGCTAAACAGTATCTCAATTGTAAGGAATAAATAGCAGCCTATGTCTTGCTTTTGCCTTTTCTGTAAGCAGTATTTGCCGTGAAAGTGAGTAGATACAGGGTATTATAGCTCAAAGAAGTGGGATAAATCGCAAAGCCAAGGGACTGTCACAGTGTCATGATGGCAAGTCATTTTATTTTAGTCTGTGAGAACTTCAGTTTTTGTGGAGGACATAACCAGCATCCAAGCCATCCAGTATGTGGAGAAAAAAAATTAAATTTATGTTATTGGGCACTGGGAATCAAAGCATGATAAACATCAGTATTACCAGTAACTTCCACTTCAAGTTGAATTGGACTGTCACCAACTTACCCCAGTCAGACTCACAGTGTAACAGCCCAGCAGCAAGCAAGTACTGCAGGCTACGCATGCTTCGTTGTTAGACTGATTCGGTGTTTGAATAGGAGTAAGTCTCAGCTGGTAAGTAAGGAGTTTTAGAAGTCTTCTATGGAATACAAACAATTTAGCAGGGAAAATGTCAGAGGAGGAAAGGCCATAATAT